TAGTATATTATTTGTTTATTTTTCTCTTGCAAGAGAGAGAGAGAGAGAGATTATTTGGTTTATTTTTCTCTTGCAAGAGAGAGAGAGAGAGATTATTTGGTTTATTTTTCTCTTGCAAGCTTGACTGGATCTTTTTTATTTTTCATAATTTTTTTATTAAAATTGTAGTAGTAAATAATTTACTAATTTGTGGTGATTTGCTTTGGTATTTTTAGATGATGCTGATGAAGGATTTGATGATGACTTTGACAAGATTGTAAGCAACGATGTAAGCGTATTCATTTAGAATTAATATGCAGCATGTTCTGCACACGCCTTCTTACTCAAAGACATAGTTTATGTGTTTCAAATGACACTCTTTAAACAAAATTAAAAGTAAACAAACATGTGACATTTTCGTTAAATGGAAGGGAAAAAATAAAGACATATGGGTCTTTTATAAAATAGAAAGAGTTAACAGGAAATCATATTGGTTCTTTTCCTTATTTATGAAAAGAGTCATTGATAAATAGTGTACTCTATAATGCTGTTATCAATCCATCAAGGCAGCATTCGGCACATCCCTTTTGATGCATTACAATTATAAAGGTGTGTGCACTCGTGTGTGTGTGTGTGTGTGAGAGAGAGAGAGAGAGAGTTTCTAATGTGCTCTAGCGTATAATTAGAAGGTGGCTTGCATACCCTCGTCTCTTAAATTTGTTGTGATTAATTCAAAAGAATGAGTGATTTTTTCTCTCTTAAAACTGTCTTATTTTCCAACACATGGATGGTTCAGCATCCCTGTTAAAGGGGGATTTGAGTGAGTTTTGTCGGGTTCAAATGTGTATATGAGAGAGAGAGAGAGAGAGAGAGAGAGAGAGAGAGAGATGGTTTTTTACAACTTGTGAGATTTTTGCAGGCCTCGGACAGTGAGGATGATGCGGAGAAAAAGAAGCCCTAATCTGGCACATTTTGGCCAAGAGCTCACCAAAACATGTGGATCATGAAGCCAACTGAAGCAGGTCTGCATTTCTTTCTTTTGTAACTTCCAACATGGAAGAGCTTGCACTTGTTACATAGGCAAGGAGAGCTTATCTGCTTGTCTTATCACCGCAGCTTTTATTGCAAGATTTATGAGGGGTGTATCTGTTCTTTAAACCTATTGATTGGAATTCAAATTCTTTTGAACTCTTCCATCATTATTTTGCTAGGATATTCATTTTTTTCTTTCATTCTCTCCAATTATTGAAACACGGACAATGGGACTCGATTCTCCATCAGGACCAAGTCACTCGGGCAAGTCCGAGCCCGAGTCGGCACCTTCTAAAATGCTATGCAACCATGCTGGCCACAAGTGAGGACACCCTTCAAATAGTTTTTCCATTAACATGACCGCTCTCTATATGAGACTCAGAATTACAGGGCAATTGCTGTTTAATGATCATGAGTTTTTGTTATTGTTGAGGTTTCTCTCGTTGATAGACCTCGTTTAGATGTCCGAGAAATCTTTTTTCTTTGAAGCCTGGTTAAAAGGGCAGGAATGTGAGTGTGCCAATTTGAAGTTCTCTCAAACCGTTGGGAAAGAGTGATTGCTGTCGAGTGCTAAATTTAATATATTTGGATCATCTCAAATGTGGATCCAATATATTTTAGCTTTTAAAATCCTTACACAAAGCAAAATTGTCTGGTGTATCTGGAGTCACGGTATTTTGATCTGTAATTTAAATCCTATAAGTAGGCTTGGTTTAGTCTGCACCCTGTTGCTTTTTGCTCTTCGAAGGACCTACAAATGGATTTCCTTCACAAGAGAGTGTATTTGGAGGCCCTGGGAACCTCCATGTCTTATGAATCTGGTAGCACTGAAATGGGTAATTCAGATTAGATTTTGAGATAGCAATCAGCACTGAAATGGATCGTTCACATTAGATTTTGGGATGGCGGATGGCAATCAAAATAGAGCTTTTTTAGGCTCTTGACTTTTCTAGGAAATTGAGCTTGGAGGATAAGAGATGGATTTGCGAAGTCCTCAATCATGCAAAATTGCGGAGCAGTGCACTTCATCTGATCATTTCAAATAAAAAGATAATGGAGAATAAATCCAATATTTTATGAAGTGAAAAAATAATTACTCATTAATTTCTGTGGGACATGAATTTTTTTATTTATTCAAGGATATAAATAAGGAAATTAAAGTAAATATCCCTTATTTTTAGGGATATTTTTAGGAAAATTAAAGTAAATATCTCTTATTTAAAAAAGTCTATATAATGCGCACATCAAAAACTCATTGGTAAAGGTTATTAATTAAACGAAAAAAGGTTGATTTAACAATTAAAAACATTTCAATTCTTCGAGATATATGAAATATGAAAAAAGAAAGAAGATTTTTAGTTCTAAAAATAGTGCATCTTGTGATATATTATCTAGACCATACATTTTTAAGATTATCAAGTATATGTAGATTTGTTCGATCTAAACTATTTTTGAAGCTCTAAATTTTATAATTAGAAAGATTAAATTTTTAAACCATTGCAGGGGTTTCAAGCAATGAAACATCTTTTGATATCATTTATGAGTGTGCCTTACTTTAATTGTTTAATGCCCCAATCTTATACAAACCTCACCATTTTTTAAAATATACATAGATGCCTTTTTTAAAAAGAACTTATTTTTCTCCCAAAACGCCTCTAACTCCTGTACTCAAAGCACCAAACTAAGGTTGTAGCTTCTCACTTGCAAAAATAGTGTTCAGTCTCTATACCGAGCATAGTCTTAGCTTAATGTTTGTTCGATACTACCAGTACCGATCAAAAGCCGCTTCTTTTTTTTAATAGAAATTATACTTCATCTGGTAAGAAATAATTTTGAGGTTTCCCTTATTTTGATCATAGATGCTATTGTTGTTCTTTGGTGGTTAATGTACGCTAAAGCCTTTTACGCCGATATTGATTGAAGTGGTCCCATATGTACACATTACAATCTCCACTCTTTTCTGCTTGTTTGTGCTCATTTGGGATTTGAGATTGGGCTCTAGGAAGAGGTGTTCCAAGTAGTGGGTGCCAACGTGGTTTTGAGAGTTTCAATCCCTTTTCACCTTCGTTTTCTTTTTGGGCGAGTCGGTGGGGAGAGAGCCCCTACCCTTGGTGGGAGTTGAGCTTAGGATGTAGCGTTGCAAATCATCAAGCGCAAACCAATTAAGCCCCGGCTCTTTTTCTCCTTTTTCGCCTTTCCCCCCACCATCTTCTTTGTTTTTCTCCTCGACTCTGTTTTCTGTTCGTTTGTGCTCACCTTAGTTCTTCTTTTTGTTTCTGGCTGTGGTTTGTATAAAGTTACAATCGCATATGTAGAAGTGAGCTTGAAATTTTATATACCATCTATTTTAGTTGGACGGTAAATATTTGATATGTTTTTTAGAAAAATATAAAAAAGTGACATGTTAAATCTATGTTATCTAAATAAAATGAATGGCAACTTTACATGAACTTTTTCCTTGTCATAGTTGTTGTGCAGTCAAGAGTCACTATAATAGGAAAAAGGTTCGCCCATGTGTATTCAAGAGTTAGTATGATACAAAAAATGATCACAAATGTGTGCTCATTAGGCAACATGATACAAAAACAATTCACAAAAATTATCCCAGGAATGAAATTCAACCGCCATGCTCGAGATCTTAGCGGGGGAGAGAGAGAGGGAGAGGGAGAAAGACCATCTATTCAAATTCAAAGCTCATTGCTCTTTTGTATGTATAGAGAGAGAGATACCACCATCTATTGAAATTCAAAGCTTATTGGCTCTTTTCTATGCATAGAGAGGCAGATACCATCTATCGAAATTCAAAGCTTATTGCTCTTTTGTATGTGGACGCCCTTAAACCTCACCAATATTTTCACTAAATTCATTACGAGGGAAGACAAAGGTCGACTAAGTAGCTTGATTTTTTGAAGAGAGAAATTCCTTGTCCAGAAGGAAGAAAAAGAATGAAACTCAAAATATGCGCTTAATAACCTTACCAATCGTTTTGGGAAAATCAGTTGAATAACATGTGAACTACTAATTAATTAACATTTCACCTGTCCAACTTCAATTATATCCAACATTTTTTGACCAATGGTGGTGTGTGGTTTGATAAGCTATTTCAAATTTTATACGAAACATGAATGCCATTTGAGATTAGATCAGGAAAAAGTTTATAAAATTGCAGCAATAAGAGTCATTTGACAAAATCTTACGATTCTAAATAATTCAGCTTTTAAAGGTAATTTGATAGATATCCATGTTTCTTATAACTCATTTAATTCTGTTTTCTTAGTAATCTTAACTCCAACATTTTCTTTTTGAACATTTATCATCATTATCAGAGACTTTTCACAATTAATTGGCGCTTACTACATGAATCCTGGTGCGTTATTTTGCTCTATTAAGGATCATGCTTTCAGTGAGGCAATAAATCCCTTTATCTTTTATCATTAGTTCCAACCATGTCTTTTTGGACATACGCCTTGCCTTTTTTTTAGCCTTCCACTTGAACTAACTCATACCTCATAACCTGTGTAATACTGGATCAACGTCAAATACTACAAGCCCACCTAAGTCTACTTTTTCTCATCTTACAGCCTATTGGTACTACACCTAAATTCTTCCAAAGGTATTCATCTCAAACTCTATCCATTCTTTTCTTGCCACTCATTAATCTCAACTACACTTATTTGATGGGTATGTTGTTTTTTGACCGCCTGACATTTTCTCTAAACATTATTATGTTTAATTTATTTCATATACATGATCACGATGTTTAGTGTGACTCCACTAATTTGAAGGATTATATATGAGATCATTCATTTTTGGTAGTTTGGTATAAGGAGGTCACAATCATCATTAGTTGTCAGATGCAAAGTCTAATAGCTTAAAGAGTGTGATATCGTTTAAGAAATTTACTTTGGACTGTACCCCCAGTCAAATGGCTCATCTCCTGCTATTTGAGTTTGCATCTAACTATCTATAATGATTGTAACTTCCTTGTATGAAAAAGAGTAGTCTGACAATCATGAACTCATTTTATATTTGAATTTTAAATTTTTTTCTACAAATCCAAATCATTTGAAATTTTAGGCGTCCTTTCTTTTCATCAATGTGCACCTAATAAAAATATTTTAAAAAATAATTCGTGGAAAATAAATTGATTATATATATATATATATATATATATATGTGGGAAAAGTTTCTATACTTCCCCTACAGTATAGAAGATCTATGCTTCCCCTACCATCCAGGCGTCCAATTTTGCTCAAGAGAGCCACTTACCATTTGATTTTAGATCTGACGTCCCAAAGTATTTTATTTTTAGTTTTTTTATAAAAATATTATGAATATGAAATTTGGTATGTGTTATCTTCTCATTGGGGTACACCAATAAAAAATATTGAAAATAATTTTTTAATAAAATAAAATAACCAAAATACCCATTGAAATTTATTTTATTTATTGAAGTTATTCTTTTTAATATTTTTTCCTAGTGCGAGTTTATTAGAGGATTGGACGTCCAAATTTGGAGTCAAAATAGTTGACTGGGGATTATCTTAACTCACCTAATCTTGAAGGAATAGTGATTTAAACTAAATAAAAAAAAGCTCGAAATCATATCCCACTTTAACCATGATTTGGGGCTTCACTTGACTATTCAATTTGAATTGTCAATTTTGTTAAGTGATGACATAGATGGTGTTGAGTGTGGCAATTAAAAGCCTTATGAGTGCCTGTAATAAACATTTTGATATAATAGAACATAAACTCAGTGGGAGTGTGGTCATATTTGATGATACCGGACTGAGCTTGACGAGCTAGGCCAGTAGGTTGGAAAAAATTATGTTAGGTGGGCATAAAAAATTATCCGATAATAAGTCATCCCTTGATGAGGTCGGAGTATAATTGGATGAGTGAGTTGAGAGACTATGTGACCCTTGTGTGATGATGGGCTTAAGAGACGGAGGCCAAAGCCTCATCCGCGAGCAATCACATGGCATGCATATATGATAGTCATTTCGAGAAAGCGAATCACATTTCAAGGTGAAGCTTATGTTTGTGCGAGAGATACCCATATGCGCTATAGGAGCTGTGGTCGCATCAGGTCTAAGTGACTTTGATACATCTCTAAAGAAAAACCTGAAATCCACAAATTGGGATTACAACCCCTTGTCTCTTCTTCCAGACTTTGGTGAGCCCCTACATGGATTGT